AGATGCGTGGCCGGCCTCCATTGCTGTCGAGAACGAGCGGAGGGAGAGAGGGACGCGCGCGGGAGAGAGAGAGAAAATGACGGGGGCAATTCCGTCTTTTAACCAAAAATCCATTTTCCAAATATTTACGATTATGCCACTGAGCTTCATTTGATCATATCTCTCTCGTTACAACTCCGATTCGAGCCCACTACGTGTCTACGAACTCATCTCACCGTGCTCTACGCAACGGTACAACCGGAATTCCCAAATTCCTTCCGAGTAAGAAAATGACCAAAATACCCTTATCCCACGGGTAATTTCTCCATTCCACTTAAATTAATTAAACGTGGGATAAATTTGGGGTCGGGGTGTTACAACAAACCCCAAAAAGAAACAACAACTGCTTTCTTCCCTTTTTTTTTTTTTCATTAAATTTTTTATTCTTCTGCTCAAGACCTCTGTTCTCTTCTTAATTTCTGGGTTTAAGGTTTCTGATTTCCTTTGTCACAAGGTAGATAACTACTTAAGATATCAAGAGTGAAATTAACATCATCAGGATGTAAAAAAATTATAATATAAAAATAAAACTTTCTAGAAAACCATAATGAAGTTGAAAAGAAAGAAAAATCATAAAACTTTTACAAGTACAAGAAATCACCAAAGACTATCTCAACTATTTTCCGTAAGTAAGCATGTCATAAAAGGAAAACTGTAATCGTAAGTGAAAAAAAACCCACATAGACAACTATATACACACATACAGATATGTACACACACACACACGCACACACACATATATATATATATATCCTTCTATTGAGGGATCCCTCAAATAATTTTATTTGAGGGACGCCCTTTAGGGTACCCTACAATTTTTTTCCCAACGATCCAAACCATCTATTTTTTAGGTTTTTATTCATAGATTATCCTTACAAAAAATTAGACAAATCGGAGACTGTTTCGACATCCAATTGTGTCTTACAAAATCAATGAACACGGTGCTTCAAGAAAGTACTAAAATTTCAATAACTTAAATGAGTGGTCAAATGATATCGGATTTAAGTAATTTTTTGTAGAGATGATTTTTGAATGAGTATCTACAAAATAGACGGTTTGGATTAGTGAAATACAATCCAGAGTGGGGCCTACAAGGGGTGTCCCTAAAATAAGCTTATTTGAGGGATCCCTCAATAGAAGCTCTCTGTATATATATATATATATATTGATACCTGAACTTGCCCTCGCATCCAAGCTAACTGCAGGATGGTCATACCAGCATCAGAGCCATCTTTTGAGTTGAGGAACTCACCATTGTCTCTCACCAGTTGAACCAGAAATTTCAAGCACTCTAACTGGTTATATTTAACACACAAGTGCAAAACAGTTGATCTATTATCAACCCTAACGTAAATGGAATCATGATTTGCATGTGTCAACTTCTTGAGGACCTCAACATCTCCTCTCATGGCAGCATAGTGAAGAGGGATTCTTCCCTTCTCATCAAAACACAAACACGCGCCAGGATATACAAGGAGCAAAGCCTGGACGATCTCCTTGTGCCCCTCAGAAGAAGCCAAGTGCAAAGGTGTGCTTCTAACGGAGTTCAACGCTTCTGCAAGTTCTGGAATATATGTGAGATAGGTTTTGGTAATTTCAAGGTGGCCTAACGAAGCCGATATATGTAAGGGTGTTAGAGTTTTGGAGGTCAGTACTGGTGCAAGGTTTCTAAGAATATGTGGGTCTTTTTCGATCAATGCGTTTAAGGATTCTACACACCCAGACCATGCTGCCTCATACGCTTTATCTTCACCATGTCTAATGATCTCCATTCTCTCTCTCTCTCTCTCTCTCTCTCTCTCTCACTCCTAAATTGAAATTAAGAGTGCACTTATATAGTCGTGATCAAGGTCTAAAATATCGGGAGTTTCGGAAATATCGGTGGTTCAAAAACACGGATATATCGATGGAAATATCGAGAAAATATCGATATCGATAAAAATTGAATAAATATCACGGAAATTATGAGAAAAACTTGGAAATTTTTATTGAAACTTTAGAGGATGTTTATTTAGTCAATTCTCTATTATTTTATCACAAAAAATTGGAAGGAAATGCATGACATGGTGGGTTTGAGTGATTTAAGTTGATTATGCAGCTCACTGTGACTTTAGAAAATATGTAATAATTAGTGAAAGAAAATTAAACACACTATAATTTTTTAGTTATAATAATTTACTTCAATAAATTACACTTGATACATATGATAAAATATATGAGCTTAACCAAAAAAACAAAGATAAAATGTATGAGTAACTTAGTACCACATAGAAAGAATTCCTATTAAAATTCAAACTTAGTATCACATATAATGAACAATATTAAAACTCGAAGTGAATAATAATAAAACTCCATAATATATAACAACAACAAAATACTACTCCATTATAAAATAATAAATAACATTAAATATATGCTTAAATTTATTCTTAAGGAATTTTTTTAATATGGAAATTTATCTTAGATAATATTAGCTTGCAGACATTTTTAAAGACCTTATAAATATTACAAGCTGAAGGTATTAACACAAACTCAGCTGCAGCTGAGTTGGATAAGGCGCTGTGGCTTTGATGAGAAAGGGAGGGTTTGTATCCCTTTGTGCGCAATATGGAGACTTTTCGGCATTTTTCTTGTCGCGATATATTGCCCAAATAAAGCATGAAAAATGTTGAAATTATCGTCCACGACATTATCGCGATAATATCGACGAAATTATCGATATATTGACGATATATATATGGAAAGATGCCAAAATATCGTTGCCCCAAAAAAACGATATTTTCGCCGAAATATCGGCGAAAATATCGATTTTTCATACAAAGGTCGTGATCAATGCGCGTCAATTCTGAAGTCTTCCAAGCTGGGACTTTTTGGAATATTATCTTTTTCCAATATCAAGAAGTACATTCGACGAAGAAAAGTACAATTATTTTTAAGGCACATTAAATTGAATATTCAAGCAAACAAGCAGTAAATCTCTGATTTTTTTTTAAAACTGTTTGGTTACGTTTTGTATCCCTAAAGTTTATGTGAAATTCGGTTTGATCCATAACCTTCAAAACATTTGCAAAAAATTAGATAAATCGGAAACCATTTAGATATCTAAGAGCAACTCCACCCGTTTGCCCTTTACCATGGTAAGGGGGGACTAGGGCAGCTACTATTCAAGTGAATAGTTGCTGCCCTTGCAAAAGGTTGTGGTGTTACCACCAATTGTCATGGCAACAACTATTTACATAAGATATTAAGAGAGAAATTTGTATAGAGTTTTGGTGTAAGAAGTGAAAACTACAACTAAGTATTTATTTTAAATTTTTTGTATTTTTTTGTAGATTTTTTTAAATTTTTTTTGTTACTGACGTCAGCAAACTCAGGCTGAAACTAAGGCAAATCTTGCCTGAGGGCTAGCCTGGTTTCGTGAGCCCCATCTCCTGTCAGGGCTAGCCCTTGCTGTTTGAAACAGGTTTTGGGCCTAAACCCCACCCCCCAGCCCTTGTTGCTGGAACTACTTTAATTGTGTCCTACAAAATCAATAAACACGGTACTTTAAGAAAGTTTTAAATTTTCAATAATTTAATTCAGTGATCAAATGATATCAAATTCAAGTGATTTTTTATAGAGATAATCTTTGAACGAATATCTACAAAATAGATGGTTTGGATTAGTGAAATACAGTCCGGAGTAGGCCTTATAAGAGTGTCCCTCACAGTGGCAGAGCTAGGAATTGATGTTAAAGGGGACCCTCTTGCAAAATATAAAAATAAAGGGAATGAGAACATAAACACTACAGGTTCTCATAGAGCTTCTTGAAAATCATTTTTAGACCCCTGGACTAATATCCCCTAAAGTAAAAATTAAGAAATAAGCTTTAAATTATAACTTTTACACATCAAGTTCTGATTGTTGTATATATAAAACCTTGTATCCTCTTTCACTATTCATTTCAATTCATACACACAACATTAAATTGTTTACACACAGAGAGAGAAAGAGAAACAGAGAGACAGAGAGAATTGAGTAAGGGCCTGAGACCCCTCTGGTCCCTACGTGGCTCCACCACTGCCTCAAATAAAATTATTATGATAGTCAAGATTTTTCAAAATATAGATAAATGCATGATCTCTAAATATAGAGATTCGAGATCCTAAATATTTGTTTGGGGGTGGTGGAAACCCACCTAATCCGTGCACGGGATGTTGGTTTGGCACGAGGAGAATACGGTCAGGCTGAACAGCTCTCTAAAATCGCAGCTGGGTTTTGTTCGAAAAAGGGGCTGGAAACTGAGGTTGCGGCCAAGGTTTTTTCGCTGGGCATGACCCGAAAAAGTTGGGCATACAAGATGCGGCCTCACAGCTCGAATGGAGTTGGAAATAGCGGCCGGGTGTGATAAATATGCGGCCGGGTGTGATAAATATGCGGCCGGGTGT